TGGGGAGTTCTCCCACTCATGGTTTTATACATGTTTCCTGTCCTGCAATTACCTCTCATTTTCTCTTTCCTTACCTGAAGAGTATCAGCCTGTTTAGGCATTCCCTGAAAGCCAGCCATATCTTTCTAGAGCTTAGTTGCTTTTCTCTGTAACTGCTCTCATTTTTCTGGTAAAGAGTGGCTGCAGTTTATCCAGGTGTTTCTTCTGTATTTCCTGGTCAAACTAATTTTCCTTTGCATTTTTTTTTTCCCCAGTTGCCTCCTCCTCTTCCTTCTAAATTTATTCCCTCCGCCCCCACCACCCACACACAAGCACACAGACACATCACAGTCAAAAGAGGCAAGAGCCTTCTCAAGAAAGAGAAGTACTTTGCCAGGTGATAAACCTAAGGCTCTTCTGAAAGGGTTAGCTGTGGAGGTGGAAGCAGTCTAGCCCTCTGAGAGCACCCGTAGGCACATGGGCTTTGCATGGGGTGGGCATACTTTTTTTTTTTTTTTTAATTGTAATTCAATGGTAGCAGCCCTCAGCTTCCTGAATTTGTTAGAAACCTCTGCTTTGGAACAGGAATTTCTTGCACCTCATCTTTCACCATTCTGGGATGGGGTTGAATAAATTTCTGATTTCAGTGAGTTAAGCCTGGGGTTTTTCTTCCACCTCGATTGTGGAATGAAAAGCTGAGGCTGTTTCATTTATATTTCTTACTGTCTCTTTTGGCATAATCTCTGTAATTCTACCTGTCTGCTGGGTTTTGAAGTAAACGTTCTGGCTGCTGAGCAAAACTTTGAGCAATATGAAGCATTACTCCCAGCGATAAATATGAGTGATTTAAAGGAAATGCAAACTATGCTGAATATAATTGAGTATTTCCTCTGTAACTGGGGAAAAAACAATTAAGAATTAAGAACTTCCTTTGTGTACAGTTTGTATATATATTTTATAGAGAACTTTGTGCTGGGTCACTGAGGATCTACAGACGTTTTTGCGGGCCCACGATATAATGCCATATTTGCAATGAAATCAAATGCACTTAAAATACTTATTAGCAGAAGAATTGGCTCTGGTTATGGAGTATAGTTAAATATTAATGCAAGATTTCTGCCATCACATATTTTTACCCATAATTTCTTTAATTTGGTATTATAATTTAAATATAGACAGCTGGACAATTTACTTGGCCAGCCTCATGTTCTATTTTTACTGAAAGTATCCTCACAGTGTTTGCTCAGGACTGTGTGCCAGCAGTTAACTGTTCAATATTTAAATAGAAGAATTGAGTTTTTGCAGTGGAAAGCATAATGGAAATTGAAGTGCTCCAAGAGATTCTGTTCATTAATAGAGCAGTATAATAGTTGCATATACTTATTTATGTGTTCTGGACCAATAGCAGTAGAAAACAGCAGAGATTTTGCTTATGTTTCACTGTATTGGTAGATTGGTCAGTGGATACAGAAATGTCTTCTGGGCTCTTTTTTAATTTAATGTCATCTGCTGTTGGTTAAAAAAGTAAACTTTTTGTGATTCAATTTTCAAAACTTTATTTTATATATATATATAAATATACATAAACACATGCACACATATAAGCATACTTTTATATGTAGGTACACCTATATATATACACATACATATATTTATATACATGTATATTAAAGAAACCCTATGTGTCATAGCTTTTCTTTGTCGTGGACAGTTGTAGATGGTTAAACTTGATTAGTTCGGAGGCCTGAATAGGTGCTTTACACATTTTGTTTCTAAACTACCACAACATATCTTACCTGCTGGCTTGGAAATGCTTCCATTTCAGGTTATTATAGCAAATTTAATACAGCTGTGGAGAAGGGATAAGGTTTCATAATAGCTTTTGTATCTGTCACAGAGTTGTTCATGAATATATCAGGATATTTCTGACTCCTGAGTCAGAGCTGAATTTCAAAAGAGCATCATTTAAATAAACAAAATAATCCCCTTATTTTAGCTTTGACTCAAGAAAGTGATTTCTTATGTACTGAGTCAGAATTCTGCTCTGATTGAACTTCTACTCTTCAAATGAGCCCATTTGATCTAGCAGCTCCAAAAGAAAAAAAACTCATGTGGTGACCTTTCTGAGTAGCCATTTAAATTCCCTGGAGTGCTCCTGTCTGCATAATACTTCACTTGCTTTATTTTCCACAGTTTATGAATGCATCTTAAATGCAGAGGGAGTTCCTGTACACTTTTTGGATCAAGGATAATTCAAGATAAGATGGATGCAATTCGTTCAGGTTTCCTAAATAGCACCTAGAGTTTTCCTAAGTTTTCAGAGTTAGTATTTTTTGTTAGGGACTACGACCTTTTCTGCTCCTGTCATTTGACTTATGGATTCACTGCTTTTTGCAATTGTGTTGTACAGGTGAGAGTGAATCAAACTGTGGATCAAGCCTAATCATTTCATCGCCTCATAATAGCTTACATATCTTCAGTTGATTTCAGAAGAGGTTCCTCCTCCTTCAGAAGTGTCCTTGCTATGACAGCAAGGGTGAAAGAGGGACAATTTAGCTATATCTTTCTGGACTTTTTCTTCTCTCTCATTTTGGGAGAAGAGAGTATTAAAGATCTTTTGGTGACAGGGTTTCTGAAATTTGGATTTGGGCAGAAGTGCACAGGAGTTTGGAGTCTTCACGAGAGAAGCTTTTGAATATGGAATAATGTTTCAATTCAAGTGATTAAATTTGAAGAGTTGCTCCAGATACCTGAATCAGATTCAGGGTTTTTAGTAAATTATATCTGAAGATGAAAACTAATTTACAGCAAGTATTAAATGAAAAAAATTGTAGTTAATATCAGCTATCATCTGTTGCGTTTATTGTATTTATAATGCTTCCATCAAAAGGATACATTCTGTGTATGAATGTTAGTCATTTACAAAATAAGGATTTAGAAACACAATTAGTGTTCTTTAATTTTAGATCTGAACAAATAAGCACCACATCAGTTTTAAATAAAAATTGCTCATATTTTATTTCCAAATAGACAGAATATAGTAAAAATAAATGTCTTTAATACTAAAGACCCTAAAATGAAGAAGCGTTTTTTCTTTATTCTTAATTATTTGTGATAGATTTTTCTCACCCAGTGATAATTTCCTTACCTCCTGGCCTGGGAAGTCTTTTTTTCCCTCAGTTATGGATTCTGGTGAATGCTTTGTTATGCTGGAAAAAATGTTCAGCTCTTAATATTTTATCAGTTCCACTGGGCCAAAGGTGCCAGCAATTGTGTAAACGGCCACTGGTCCTCAGTATTTTAAGTCTTCAGCCTTGTCATGTAGGAGCATTATAAATTATGTATAACGGTAGATGCCACTCAATAAATATTTAATATGTGATAGATATTTTTGTCTGCAATTACTTTTTCACTTGAACAATGATTTAAGCTGATTTTTTTCGTTTTATGGGGTGACACTTTTATAATATCAAGGAGTAGCTGAATGCGGTTTGAATGTGGGAGAGCTGCAGGGCAGCATTAATCACAGCTTTTTTCGTTCTTTCTGAATGCTGGAGAACTTTTAATTCATCCATTAGCAGAGTAGGATTTCCTGTTTTGTTTTGGAGTATCTTTTGTATGTTGAACCGTCATACCATTTTGCCCACTTGCATGTGTAGTTACAAAGATGTTTTTTTTTTTTTTTTTTTTTTTTTTTTTCCAAACAAAAATTGAAAACTTTTTAGGGGAATGAGATTGAGGGTGACTGAACACTGGCACAGGTTGCCCAGAGAGGTTGTAGAGCCACCTTCTCTGGAGATATTCAAAACCCGCCTGGACACAATCCTGTGCAATATGCTCTAGGTGACCCTGCTTGAGCAGTGGGGTTGGACTAGATGATCTCCCGAGGTCCCTTCTAGCCTCAACCATTCTGTGATAGATACTACATCTATCTTCTTCATTCAGATTTGTCTATGCTTAGGTAAATGTGTATTACAGTCTATCCAGGTTTTCTCGCAAGTGCTGTCTTGGTTGGCTCTGAAGGATGCATATCAATGACATAGAAAAGCAGTAGTCATACTGTTGTCAGAAAATTTATTTTCTGTGTTTGCTAACACGAAGAGAAAAAAGTGTGTGCCTCATAACATGCAGCGGTGATAGTTGTTTATAGTGCCTCCCTTGCTGAGTTGTCGGTGTTCCTTGGCTCATAATGGCTTAGCTGGGTAGATAGAAAAATTGGCTCATTTCGAAGGTATTCAGTGTCTGACGTCATTATCTTCCCATGCCTAAAAGCCAATAGGATTTGATGTCAACTTGAAAAAAGAACTTTAGAAATACTAAAACTCATTTCAAAGCTATATTTAATCTGTTATTTATTGCACACATTATCTAATTAATATTACATAAAAGAATTACTAAAAATGATTTTTTCACTCAAGGTTAAATTTGTCCACTTATACTCCAGCTGAATGATACTTTATGCTATGAGTAATTGTTGCAGAATGCAGCCCCAAAAATTTCGAAGAATTGAAATTATATGCTGCAAATACTTTATACTTTTTTTTCTCCTACTGTTGTCAGTGCTTCCATTATATTGGAGGATGCTTTAACTATTTAGGCTTACTGGGTTTCCAGATGTCCACATTTTTTTTGAGGAAGGTTCAGTTTATTTAAAGGCTCACCAAAGAGCATTCAGTTTTACATTCCCTAGCTGTACTGAATTTTGTTTAGCTTTAAGTTCTACTTAAACTTCATGCGAGGTGGTACATAGCTTGTTTCCTTCATTTCTTTATTATTCTCTTGTTTGATCTTCCTTATCTGGTGTAATTCAACTGTTTGGCTTCTTTCAAATAACACCTTCACAGACTTCCTGAACATCAAGCTTGGAATACTCATTGGAAATATAAAAATCACATTTAAAACATTAAAAATTCTGCTTATATTTTTTTTGCGATATTGCCTAGATTAAGTTATATTAAACGTGGTTTAGGAAGAGAATGAAGAGCAGTGTTTCTTGCCTAACTTACTTTTGTCCATTACAGGAACAAACCTTGGCTCTTAGGAAAGAAGGGATAGGTGTTGTGTTAGATTCTGAACTGCCTCATCTAATTGGCATTGATGATGATCTTCTTAGTACTGGTATCATCTTGTATCACTTGAAGGTAAATAAATGTCTGTATTTCCACTACCTTTAAGTGCCTTGTGATTTTTGAGTAGACAAATTATAGTATTTATTTGCTATCTAAATGTAGTAAGTGTTTGTTACATTATTCCACTCAGGTTAGATAAACTGTTAAGAGATTGTAAAGGATTCAAATTATACTATGTCAGTTTATTGCTTAGGTTTATCCTGCGGGTCTACTGTTCAACCAGTGAAAGATGTATGACATTCCTACCCATGTATATTGGTTTCTCCTCCTTCTTGTTGTAAAGCTTAAATTGAAATCCAGATCTAGATTAATTGCCACAAAGGTGGTTCTATGCAAGACAGTTAAAACTTGAATTTTCTAACAACACCGTACAATAAGCGCTGCTCTATGAAAGCATTCTAAAAATGTTATCTGATTCTTTCATATATGTACAAACATGTGCTTGGTCGAGGATGCTGTGAGAAAGTGGAAGGATAAATTATATCTTCACAGGGGAGGGAAGGAGGTCAGCTGAAAATAACATATATTTTGTCTTAATTAGGAGGGCCAAACGTATGTTGGCAGAGAAGATGCTATGACAGAACAGGATATTGGTAAGGAAGCTGGTTTTTTTTCACATTCCTTCTTCTTTCAGTTGTTTTTCGTTCATCCAATGTTTTAACATATGAATGAATGTCATCATTTTTTTTCCCCATTTCAATTAGTTGCCCATATGTTCTTGCATATTTTTATCTTTCAAAATCTTATAAGAGATCTGAGTTATGTAAGATTTGTCTCAAAAAGCATAACTTCTAAAATAGCTTCTGGCCTTAAATTATGTTGTTATTTGTACATACTGAGGTTTATTGTTAATTTCTTTCTCATAGACTTTAAATATGGTTCTGTAGAAATACTGTCCCTCTTTGTGCAGCACCTGTCATAATTGATGCATAATCGTTCTCTTAACCTTTGTGTAATGACAGTATTGCTATATTGTTATAGCTAAAGCAATCTTTGCACTTTAGATTCACATTGATGACAATTCTGCAAGTTGATGGAAAGTGGGTAGGCTTTTCGTACTGATTTTCTTATTCACTTGATAGCAATGCAAATGAGTGCCAATAGCGGACTGCCTTGTCACAAATGTTGCTTGAAGGGAGTTTCAATAAATAAGCCAAACTCTTTGGTTCTCAAATGAGAAATTGAGAGCCAAATAACTTATTTCTGTGTTTTCTTTGGGCAAAAGATGCCTAGATTTAAATTTCTAAATAAATTACATGAAACTAGAACACCTATGTGCTGCTTTGTAGTAATAGACAGCATGATATGTAAAACTTTCCTCTTTGTTTCTGTAGATACAATCATGCAAGGGTTTGCAAAAGAAGAGAAGGAAAGTAACAGAAATGATTGGTAGAAGGCCTGAATGTAATAAACCATAAGAACCTTATTTTAGCCATTTTTAATAATCTGTGATCAGATATTATATCCTGTCTCATCAGATTTAAGTAAAATTGCTTTAAGGTCAATATTTTTTCATTATTACTCAGTGAAACTGATAAAAAAAAACCAGTTTCTACAAGTGCGTAAACTTACTTTCCAGTTTTCTATCAAATGTAAATAAACATATATTAATCTGGTGCCAAAACATGGGAGAAAAGAAGATTACACAAAAAAACCAAAACACTTCTCTTTCCATTGAAATAAAGCAATAAACAGGGCAAACCTTCAAGGCATACAGTTGCTGAAAGGTAGGAATTGATGAGGGAAGGAACAAAGCATCATTCAGAATAAAGAGAAAAGACATTTTCAAATAGGTAGTGCCATATGTCCATAATAAATTAATATCGAATTGCTAATCTTACTAGTTGTTAAGAGACTAATCATGCTATTTTATTTCTGTGTGTTTTAGTTCTTCATGGCCTTGATTTGGAGAGTGAGCATTGCATCTTTGAAAATCTCAATGGTACTGTGAATCTAATACCACTGAATGGAGCTCAGTGTTCTGTGAATGGTATTCAGATTACAGAAGCCACACAACTAAACCAAGGTATTGACCAGAATAATGCAATTTTTATACAGTGTCCTTTTTTTTTTCTTTCTGGCAACAGCACTGAAAACGCTGTCTGATTATAAGGGGCTTATTGTTAAATTCATTTTAACTTTGATTCCTTTTCTTCTCCTCTGCAATTAGGAGAGCTTTGGAGGTTTTATTCAGTCAGAGAACTGCTATGTGGTGAAAAGAGAGTCCTTTACTAACTTAAGCTATGTCACCATCTTGAGTATGAGTTAGTAATTAATTTCATTCAAAATTTATACATAAAGTAAACTCTACAACAGATTGCCCAGATTGCTGCGATATTAAAAAAAAAAACAACAAAAAGCAATCTGTATACAAAGAAAAGGGTGTCAGAGGCTTTTTTTTTTTTTCCAGAGTTTCAGGCCAGCTGATCCTGCTTAACGCTCTCTTGCCAAGTCTTCTTGTATAGCAGCAGATTCAGCTGGAGTATCTGTTAACTGCAGGCGCAGGCGTAGTAAAATGACACAAAGGAGGAGGCTAGCCCTAATGGAGAAAGGTTAGAGAATTATTAATTTCAGTGTAGAAGCTTTGAAATCTGGAAATGAAGAAGCAGCTGGGACAGCTGGAGACAAAGGTGTGCAATAATGGCCTGGAAAGGACTGGCTAACAACTAAGGTGATGAATGCCACAGCAGGGTTCTCAGCTTTTCTTCCAGGAGCACCCGGAATACTTTTCCTTTTAGCATTGGGGCTGTGACACAGCTCTGCTACTGAAAAACATATCACTTTGCATCCCTGGGAAGAAACACTCAGAGCAAACTTACCTGAACAAATGAAGAGTTCAGTAGAAAGGACAGTGTTGAATGAGATAATCTTGCATCTTTTCTAAACTCAAACAAGTGCTTCCAAATTTTGCTTTCAGAAAGTAAGGAATTTTGGTGTGGAAAGGATATGTTGACGCTGTGAAGTGTCTTATTTCTTCATGCAAAATAAGAGAGCAATGCAGTTGTTGTTTCTGTTACAGATAGTCAATTTTCATCAAATTAGTCTTTCATTTCCACTGACGTTTTCTTTAGCACCCAAGCTTACAGGTGTTTTTTTTTGTTTTGGGTTTTTTTGTGTGTGTGTGTGTGTGTTTTTTTTTTTAAGGTTGGCTGCTTATCACAGCGCTCATTTTTATTTGCCTCAGGCATGTTTCTGTGTACATGGTAGCAACAGGCAGGTCTGCATGTTTTGGCCTGAGGCAAGTGAAGGGAAAGCTCAGGCTGTAAATGGGTTTATTCATAGATGAGGGAAGAAAGGGTAATGGAAGAGGATTGTTTCTTGCCTCCAAGGAATGGTAAGCGTAACATGAGTTATCTAGAACTTTCTGCCATCATTTGGAAAAGTAAGTCATGCTTTCTAGTAACAGACATTTTTGAAAGTGTTTACATCATGTTTTTACTGATTCTTGGCAAGCAAATACATTTTTAAAATCCGGTATTTACCTAAAGTCACCCAAGACTGGGTTTTCATTCACTGTGGATCCCCTTGCTTGGCACCGTTTCATGCTTTGGGAGCTAAAAGACATGCCTTTACTATCCAGAGCAGGTTGCCTTTGGTCATCTGGAATGGCTCAGGGAAGGTGAAATGTTTCAAGTACTTTCTGCAACATCTCCAGGTTCATAGAAGCAGCCCTTCTCTACAGAGTGCACGCCCTGCAGGTTAACCCAACCTGAGCCTAAGTGACCCCTTTGGCTAATGTCGTTAAAAGTTGTGCCAGTGCCCATGTATAATGGAAAATGAAGGAATGGTGTGGTCAGCACATCCATTTTTACACTTTGCCCTTCTAGGAGGAAAGAAAAAACATCTTGAAGATAGGAAGAATCTTCCTAGCATATATTGTACTGGCACACCCAACCATAATTCTGAAACTAGGATCCTCTCTCTTCCCACCATCTTCCTATATGCACCTACTTTTCCACAGTCCATCCCCATCCTTCTGCATACCTAAATGTATGGTCCTGTATGGGTGCAAACTAGGCCTGGAATTACATGTTCCTCGCCCTCATGCATCTTTACTGTCCAACCTCTTTTTCCGTACTTCACAAACACTGTCGCACAGGCAGCCTGAGCATGGTCCCATCATTTCAGCTGGGTTCTCAGCACCACCTGAGCTGTTTCCAGAAGCCGTGAAGCAGTTAGAACAGACCTGTCCGCTGGAGCAAGTTAGCATACGCCAGCTGATCAGAGGTAACAGAGGTTTTTAACTCATGACCTCGGTAAAGAGCTGGCCCGCTGGCAGTTTATCACTGATACTCTGGCGTATAATAGCTTGCTTTTGTGACAAGTGGCAGTTGACTTGCTGACAGTGACCTGGCCTGGACTTGTGCCACATGCGAGATAACACTAAAGAACAGGTAGTATGGAGAAAGTGACAGATTTTTCAGCAGCAAATCTAAGGTTGGCATATTTTTTTAGAAAAACTTTCTGGGTAGGGGGAAAGTCCAACCCTCTTTGCCTTATATTTGGGTAATCCAATTGATAAATGGTTAGCATTAGAAGCACTGGCATTGATGGCAAGGAGAGCAAGAGTTGCAGTTGCAATGACTCTTCTTTGCTTTAGCCTGCTGTGTTACAGAGGGAGTAAAGATTTTATGGGCCTCAGAAGAAAGTAAGATGTTATTTCCCTCTTCCAAGCCTAGTGTGTAACGCATAGTGACTTGTTTTTGTCCTGTGAAGAGTGGAAACTAGCTTTTCTTTAGATAGAAAGAAATAAGAAAAAAAAAATTGCACCTCAAAAGATAGGGCAAAGGTTGCTTTTGAGTTACTAAATTGTGGAAGAACAGCTGCCTAAGCTGCCCCATAGATTTTCTAACCTGACTGAGCCTGAAAGACGACATCAGATGGGAATAACTTGATGAAATAACCTGTTTAACAACTTGTGCACAATAGGTGTATCCTAGCTGTGGTAGCATTTAGTCTCACAGCAGGAAATGCCAGAATCTTTAAATATCTGCTTCAGATATCTCTGATTAACTGCTGTTATATTTAAATGTTTCCGTTTATTATTAATAACTATTCATTGGAAACTGTGTTAAGTTTTTAGACCGTTATAGAATGTAGATTAAAAAAAGAGACATAGTAATTAATTAATACTTCCTTCTTCAGATTACTTCCAGCATTTGTAAACTCTGGTTAATGTGCCTTTTTTGTGTAAATGAAACTTTCTACAGTATTTTTTTATTCTTAAGAACATCTGCTAGGATTTCTAGAGATAATTGAATTAATATTCACACACTGGAGTTTGTCCTTTGCCTTAAATTTATCCTCTACTTAAGCTGAGTTTTCCATTTTTAGGCCAAACTGTCAACCCTTCCATAGCTGATATCTCCCACTTTTATTTTTTTGTTTTTTTCCCTCTATATTCATTAGTTAAAAATAACTTTTAAAATATTAGGGATATTAATTATAGATACGTTTGTTTGTATAATTCCAAAATACTGATCCATGTAGTTGAGTGATTCTTGATGATATTTGAACATATATTCTCCTTATTTATTTCATATGCTTTCTGATCACTTATGTGTAGGTGGAAACTAGCTAAATTACCGGATAAGAGTTCCTCGAATGATGCAGACTTTTTTTATTGCTTGTTTTTTTGTGTCTTTTTAGTAGTATCAATGTATTTGATAAAACTTTTTCTTTTTTTTTTTCCTGCCGTTTTGCCTTCAAGGAGAGTGAGAATTATTCCTTAGAGTAAATAAATGGGAAGCAAAACCCATAGAAAATTCAGTTATGTTTCCTTGACAGCATTTACTCTACAATTTGCACACATGCATTCAGATGGGAAATTGCGTTGTGCAATAACATAATAATGGACATCTAAAATAGTGCTTAGGAAATATTATTACAGAACAGTTTTGATACAGACTTTTTTTCCTAAATAGATAAGCAGCAGCATCACAGCCTAAGTTCTGTCAAATGTGAATTAAGATAGTGCGGTTTTGCCTGAATTGTAGAATACTATAAAAATTAAATACCCTATAGAGACAAAAAGTAGCATCATGCGGTAATATCTGTAACATGCTTAGATACAAAAGAGGAATTTAATGGGGGAGGAGCTGTAATTCCTGTTCCAATCTGTCCACTGGCCATATTAGTGTACTAAATACTTCTGTAAGAGTGCTTCATGTTGTCGACAGGCCGCATATCTGTTCTCCTTCCACGTGTTCAGACCTATGCCAAATCTCCTGCCATGAGCATGATCATGGGATTTGGAGGTGCACTAAGAGAGAAACAGAGCAGTTGTTCATTTGATCAGTCAGTCATTTTCAAATGTTCATGATCTTGTTAAACAGTCATGATCATGACTGTTTGCTTTTTACATTTGTAAAGTTAAGAACAGTTATCTACAGTTTTACTCATTCTGAATTTAAAATTCACTTAAGCTGTTTCCATTTAATGATGTGGTCAAAAATGTGTGCAACTAATTATTTTAATCTTCGTTCCAAGCTGAAGAGATTTCACTGAAATCCTCGCTGCTTCCTCTGCTAAAATAATCAAAAACCTGCTCCAGGCAAACAGCAAGATACATATGGAGCAGATACATATTTGGGGAAAACTGTGAGCATATGAAGCAGTTGTAGAATAGAAGGAGTTTTAGTGCTTTCACTATAGCAGTCATGACCAGCAGGGACCCTTTTTAATATGCTTAGACAAAAAGTGTGCCCAGTGCACTTTGTGAGGGAAAGGCTAACCTGCAGCATCACATAAATTACGACGATGGGATCAGAATGTCTTTGCAATACAAACCTACATACAAATTTATGAAAGGTATTTCTGTTTAAGATTAGACTGGGATAAAATGTTAGTATGATCCAAAATTGAGGTGTGATGTAGACAGTAAGGAGTGACACCGTGACTACAGTGATTTTTGCCATTGACTTTGCTAAGACTGAGTGATCTTACTTGGGTTGATATTCTTGATTAAGCTAATTTTCAGAGGAGCATTCTTAGCTAGTGACAGTATTTCATTCTCAGATGGTAACAATTTGTTTGCAGTGAGCAGTGTAAATGCAGTTCTTTCAGACTATAATTGTAATAGCAGCTTCTTTTTTTAAAAAATGCATCCCACTGACAGATAAATGATTGATTCTGCGGTGGTTAACTTAGAAGACTTCCATTTCATGACAGCAGAGAGACATCACTGACAATATATTTTTTCGTAGGGAAGTATTAATCCTGATGCCAGTTTCTTCAAAATATGATAGCAAATGCCCGAAAACACGTTATTTGTGACCTGTACTTGATTAAACACAATAGTGGATGTTTATAGAGCAATATAAATTTAATTTTTCTCCTTGAAAATAAGTATTAGGAATAAAAGTCTAAATAATCTTGATTTGAATAGTGGTAGATTTCAGTGTTGTTCTGTGTAAAGATAAGAAAGGTAAGTGGGAGTACAAATTATGGAGAAATGGAGATTTCAATTTACGTGGATTCAAACCTGTTTTGGATCACTAGTAGATGAGTGAAAGTTAGTTTGTCCTTAGTCTTAGTTATGGACGTTCCCGTTGCATTTGGCACTTGCTGGTTTCTAGCCTCCAAAGTAGCAGTGTT